CTCCAGCCCTCGGCCTCGCAGCCCCCCGCGGCGCCGCCGCGCCCTTACCCATGGCCGCCGAGCAGCCGCCGCCCCGGCTGCTCCTTGCGGGTCGGGCGCTACCCTTCTCCGCTGCGCGGTGCAGCTGCTCCTGCTCCCGCATCCACTGCGCCCCCGGCGGCAGGAGGACCTGCCTCGCCGCCCGTCCCGCTTAGCCCCGGGGCCCGCTGGAGCTGTCAAAGGGCTGCGGGAGCCGGACGGCCGGGGAAAGCCTGTGCGGCGGTGCAGGTCCGTTCAGCCCGGCTCGGCTCCCGAGAAGCCGAGCTGGGAAGATGCGCCTGTAGCGCTGCGAGGCGGCGCTCGCAGGCAGCCTGCCCCTTCCTGCTGCTGGAGCCCAGTAACCCACAGCCCCGGGAAGGGACAGGCTCCCGCCGCACTAGGAAGGAGCCGCTTCTTTTCCCCCGGAGCCTGCAGGGGGGCAGAAGATAGAAGATTGCTGTTAAGTACCAACACCTCTCAGCTGTTGGTCCCTGGTCCTAGCTAAGTTAGCACCAGGCACTGCAGGTGGTAACTGGGTGTATGGGAAAGGAAGACGGAAGTTACACCCCAACTACCCTGCTTCCTAGGAATCGCAGAGGAGTGAAGGAAAAACAAGCAGCAGCTACTGTGTTAGAGGTCACCTCATCCCATTCTTCATTCCACCCCTGCCACGTACAAAGCAGTGGCTGCTTAAGAGCATCTGATAGATAGGGAAGGCTCTCCCAGACGTTGTGGTAGACCTGAGTATAGAAAATTCATGTTTCATAATCCAATAAGAAATGATAGGATGGAGCATAAAGAAACAGTGTTCACCAAGGTTTTTCAGCAAACACCATGACTGTGGGCAGCCTTTTTGTGCACTAGGTTGCCTTTGTCTTAGATTTAATAAACAACCACATGGTGTCCCATTACTATTAGTTTGAACTATCATGGAAACAACATGTGACATATACCACCATTCCCATTAGTTCATGAATGACACATGCCCCCAGCAGCTGGGCAAGGGGCACGGTGGTGCTGGTGGCAGCAGGAGCACAACAGCAGTAAGCGGGCAGCTCCAGCAGATGTTGATGGCACTGTCGGTAGAGGGGGGATGGCAAGCGCTGATCAGAGATTGGCAACCATCCACAGACGCCACTGGCAACCTTTTTGTAAGGGATGCACTGCTTTACATATGGCTAATGCATTAGTTTGAACTATTATGGAACTAGATATTGTGCAGTTGTTTACTAAAGCTGGGACAAAGGTAGTCTGGGCTAGAATGGCCCTCACTGAGCAGAATACTTAGGATATGGCCATGTTATGTCTTTATATGCTTGCCAATATAAAAATAGTTGAACTCATAGTAAAATCCAACTCAGCACTGTAGGATCCAGCCATCCGCAGTCATGAAAAAAGATCCAATTCCTTTAAAATTATGAAGTAGCATTTGGCCTCTGGTACTTGCAGGAAGCAAAGCTCTTCAAGGACAAGAGTACCACTGCTTCCACAAAAATATTTGTTAGGTCATGTATTGTACCTGTGTATGGCATGCTGTGAGCACTGAAGCAGCCACAATCTTTTAACAAAGCCTCTTTAACTACCATCAATGAGTACCCCTGTCCCACAAGTGTCAGGGGAAAAGAATTCTCTGGACAAACTCTCCCAACACCTTCCCTCCAAAATTGAAAGGAAGACCTGACACAGGGATCAGCAACATTTTTGGCCTGAGTGCCAAAATCACCCCAACCTCCATCCACACCTCAACTTGGTGTGCCAGAGATGGGGGAGCTGCAAGGGCCCCTTTCCTCATTGCTGGCAGTGGCTACAGGTTTCCCTCAATTTATGCAGGTTTATATGCAAGTTTGCTCTTATGTGATGAGCATATTTAGACCCATAATTCATTATATGCTATCAGCACAGATGAGTCCCTCCCACCCATGCAGGTAAGTCTGTGGGGGGAGGGGAAGGGCCATGGCCCCACTCACCCCAGCCCCAGCTGCAGTAGCCTCAGGAGCAGCTGGTGCCAACTGCCTGCAGCCTCTGGGCTGCACTGTGCTCTGCCTGTACCCCCACACCGGGGCTCCTGGGTTGTGCCGTGCCATGGTGTCGGCTACTCCCAGGGCTGCTCCAGCGCCGACAAGAGGAGCCCCAGGCGGCATGGGGTGCAGCACTCACCCCAGCCCTGGCTGCAGAGGCCCAGGGTGCCTGCACAGCCCAGGAGCACAGGTGAGTTGGGACAGGCAGAGCACAGCCAGGGATGAGGAGAGTGCTGCTGTTCCCTCTGCTTTGCTGCCTCATGCAGCCCCAGGAGCAGCACCCTTCTTCTAGTCCCAGCCTCATTCCCTCCCTCCCTCATCACTATGGGAACCTAGCCCTATTTGTTACATTGCAAAGTGGGTTCTGCAAATTCAATTTATGCACCATTCTCCAGAAACACACGTATAGCATAAATAGAGGGGAATCTGTACAAGAATACCTCTGGGTGGATGGAAGGGAGGGGTTGGGGTTGCACTGCCCCACTCCCTTCCCTGCTATGCACTGAGCTGTGCATGTACCCACCACTGCCACGGAGCTGATGCCTGGGCTTGGGAAACCAGCACAACTGTTTGCAGCCTCCAGGCTGCCTTACACAGCTGGCCCAGGCCCAGGGTAGCTGTAGCAGGTGTCTGGAAGGCTGCAAACAGCTGTGCCAGGCTCTGCTACGGAGGAGCCAGGGTTGCACTGCCCCAGGCCCCTTCCTGGCTGTGCACCCAAACATGCACACGCAGCTGCCACAGCCACTAACTAGTGCTGGGGCTGCAGAGCCCCATGTAGCCATTTGCAGCCTCCTGGCTGCAGCATGCCTGGGCTCTGGGCAGCTGCTGGCAGAAGCTGCCCAGTCTGGGTTGGCTGTGGCATGCTGAGGAAAATAGCCTTGCATGCCATGCTCTGGCACACATGCCCAAGGGTTGTCTATCCCTGACTTGATGCATCCTTTCCCTTCCAAGCTAGAAAGATGCTTGCAAAGCCTGCAATGGGATGTCAGTGCACAGCAAGATCTTTATGAAAGTGGGGCTGTCAACTTAGAGTTTCAGATCAGAAAGGGCCTCATTTTTAAAAGGTTCAGGGCTGAAAGCAAAAGTTTACAGCTGCCTTCCATAGTTTATAGTGAATGAGATCATCCCATTCCACAGTTTACACAGGCTTACCTGTGGATTACTTTACAGAACTTGACCAGACACCTGAGCACTTTAAATAATGAGTAGAAATATCTTTTGTCCTAGACATGCTGATAAATATCAGAGAAGAATGACAAATGTATGGTGTTGCCAAATCTGATGATGCAATTAACATTTTTTTAAACAAAGTGGGAATAGCAATTTGCCTCAGGGAATGTAATTAGTCAAAGGAAGAATCTGGTACAGGAGACAGGTTTCTAGAATGCTGCCTTTTCAAAATAGGGAATTAAAGGAGTCTGGTTATATAAGGATTCTTTCTGGGAGGTCTTCTGGGCATTGTGTGTCAAATTCCTACACTTAGATCCAACAGTACAGTAATAAAGGATGGGACAGACAAGTGATAATAGGAATCCCTCTCATCCCTTTTAACAGGGGTCTTGTGATTTGAGGATGTTGTGAATTAGACTTCAAATGTAAAGACAGCTATACAACTTCCCCTTGTCTGACTCTGTAGACCAAGATCACTAGGAAGAAAGTGAAAAAACTGGAGGAGAATAAAACAACAGTTTTTAAGTGGTCAGTCCCTAAAGAGTTCTGCTGTACTTCACTACAACAAGATCTCACTTAATTAAAGAACAAAACAAAACAAAACTTGGAACTATTCTGCAGTTCCAATTCATTCTCTAAATTTAGCAGTCTGATATACAACTTCTTGCATTTCTGAAGCATTTCAATAACTGTTAAGAGACTACGATCAGTATCAGGAACTTAATTTCTACTCTAAAAAGTGAGCTGAATTTAAAAACTGTAGGAGATGCACAATACAGTCACTCCAAGCTGGGTTTTAAAGATATAGAGGTTAAAAATAGAAATGGTTAGTCTAGCAAGATCTCTCTTGGGACATTAATTATGTTGTCTATGAAACGCATATCAGCCTTCCTTTCAGCATATTGCTTCTACTTCCATATCATCATGGAATCATAACTATAAAAAGGGACCTCAAATTCCAACCCCCGTGACCTATACCATAACAGAACATAGTTTAACCGTAGCTTTAGCTCAGTTCCAACACCTGAAGAGGGAAGAGGCATTTCAGAAGCGATAAGGAATGGAAAAGTACTGAAAGAAGTGTGTGTGTGTGTGGGGGGGGGGGGGGGGGGGGGGGGG